GAGCTAATTTATCATAAAAACATCTCGCGTTAACAACATGACTCATAGAAGCATATGTACTTTCATTTCATAAATTTTAGTTTAGAAATTCGAAACGACAGCAACATTTTGCGTGTGGGTGATTGTAATCCTTTGTTCTACTACCCACACATCCACCCACACCTTCCCTCTTTGTGAAGAATCTAAAAATCGAATGGAGACATATAGTTAATCTATAAACATATGATTCATCTGCAGAAAAAAAGACTTCGTATAAAACTTTTTTGATTTTTATGTGTACCATTCTGTATGAATTCTCATATTGCTGTTGTATTTTCTATTCGGTTTAATGTAGCATAGATTTTTCATCAAAAAATAGGAAAACATTTTAGTACATGATGTTTTTTTTCAATATTCAGAAATTTTTGTCACATTCTCTTCATGCTTTAAAATATAGAATAATGATTGTTAATGTAAGGTTGTTGTCTATTAATCTAATACTATTCTTTGTTAATCACTTACATGATCTACTATTTTTGGAACTCATGTAGATTTTCAAAAGATATAGTGAGTGGAAGTTTTCTCAGAAATCATTTTCCTATTACAGATCTTAAAACCATCTACCTTTATAAGCCCCAGCAAAGATCTACTGTATTTTAGAAATTTTACTATTTTCGCATTTTGTATTACTATAATGAAGTTAAGTGAAATATGTGAGTTCTGTATTAACAAGTTCTTCTACGTGCGACTTTTCTTATTGTTATTGGATATGAATTTTGTGAAAATGCAAATTCACTATTGGTTGATTTTCAAATAATAAAATATTTCACATGAAATTCTAATTTATTCTTCAAATTAAATGCACAGTTTACAAAATCCTATTTTTATTATTGTCCCTTTTTTTAGTTTTAACTATGAAAATATCAACAATAAATCTTGTAATGACGAGAAATGGTGAGCCAATCATCAACTGGTCTTAAATAGAGCTCTCATTCATTCAATATATTAGAAAACGACTTCAAATTTTGTCTGAATAAATACCATAATCTAGACTTCATATCTATGTAATTACATCATAGTTTGATTATATGAGTCAGAACATTCGGTGATCTGTTTTAAAATCCTTACTGTATGAAAATTATTTCTTCATGAAATTTTGGTTGTTTCAGTATATTTCTAAGATCAATGAACGATGTTATTGCATGCATAGAAAGTCTAAATTACGGTATTTATTTAGACAAAACTTGACGTCATTTTTTTAATATATTGAATAAATGAGAGAGCCTTATGTAAGATGAGAGGATGATTGGCACAATATTCCTCGTCATTACAAGATTGAACTACAATGAGACTATATATAGTGAAAGTTTCAGCTTGTTCTGCTGAGATTTCACCAATTAACGAGCCTATTCTTTCAGTGAATTCACCATCGCTCCTATTGTACGTGAGTAAAACTGCACAAGAGTGACACCGCGACAACCATCTGCAATTGTACCAAAAACTATTCTTGTGCCATAGATTTCATTGCTCTTATATTTATTTGAGTTCTAAAGCAATGAAAAACTTTTATTCATGTGACACTAAAGATAAAATAAATTCGATTAGTGAATTACAATTAATTGGTGTTAATGATTCAATAAAATACAATTGCTTTCTTTTGTGAATGTCATTGACACTACGGTCCCTAAAAATTTAGCTGTATATTTCATTTGGCTCTCTTATTTGTATACAAACTGGTAGTCAGATTATACTATGTGAATTTGATTCCATGTGAAAATAGATACTATACCTGGTACATCTATTCTTCTAATTATCATTTTATCATATACTATTATCATTAGTGTCAATATATGAAAATTTGGATGTAGATTACGTAAAGATCTGTGAATAAATAAAGATTATAATGTTGGATTGAATTATCTATTTATGAATATGATTTATTTCATATTTTCGAAGAACATTGATTGTAGGAGAAAGGAACCATGTCCAAAAGTTAAATTAGCATTTCAAAAATTCACAATCTTAATTTTATGAGTGTAAGATCAACCTTAAATTGTGATTAAGTTTTACAAGTTTATATCATATTTCGTACTAACTAAAGTCTTTCATTTATTCTTTTAGGTGTAACACCAGCGAGAGAAAACAATGTTATAAGTCCTTGTTAGAATCGCAGCATCTAGCTATAATTTTTCTTGAACTACCTAAAGTCGACTTGGTTGTTTCGGTTGATGCTGTTGAATATAAAGCAGAAAACCAAGATATTGATTTGTGAGGATCATTTCGAAATTTGGATGCCCAAGAATTAGGCTTTATACTTAATACTCCAAAACCAAGTTCATAAAGTAACGAACTAATAAAATCTTCTTCATCATCAGCTGTTTTGATAAATTCTTCTAATGGTAGTATTTTACAATAGAAATGGAATAATAGGATCTTTCTCTGCTGTCTTGCTCAGCTCAAGTTCAATACGAAGATTATCAATAATAGTATCCATACCGTTGATTATCAAGATTGCACACGCAACTAATAAAATTCGAATTATCATGTTATTGCCAACAATGACAATTGAAGGACGTTAGAGATTATCAGTCGAATACCTAAATGAAATAAAACATTATATCATTCATGTTTTTTTCTTGTCTCTCGATTGAAAACCTAAACCTAAACTTGAAACTAATTGATATAGTATTATAAAATGGAGTACTTGTCACCATTGTGTAGATCTTTTGTTATTTGTAAAAGAGAAATGTTTGCACACGTTTCTACTTGATCAATTTACACAATACTCTACATAATTTCTCTCTGCGTATCATTCACTGAAAAGAAAAAGAGTATTTCTCATGATATCTAATAGAAGAAGATAATGATGGACACCAGTTCGACTAAGAACTTTAATTTACAGATTACCAAGAACTGACTATAACGGAAACAAGCTATTTGCAAAAAAAAAATGTATTCGTCTTTTTCTTTCTCTCAGATTTTATTAAATCTATGCAACTAACAGTAAAAAAATGTAAATAATATGCCATGTTTCGTTTCTTTCATTTGTAACCATCAACAATAGGTGTCCTTCGAAAATATTTCTTATAAAGGGTTGTCATAGAAGAAAAGCATAAAATTGATTTCGACATGCGCACTCTGAAATAGTAAGGCAGCAAATTCATTCGCAAAGATAAGGTTGCTTTGTTTTGTACTTATTTATGAGAGAAGTATGAAGTTAATTTCTATGAATGACGTTTTTATACTTAGATAAACAGATAACTAATTGAAATTATGTCATAATTATAATGTAACTAGAATTACATGCACAAACAGCACTTAATTCTGCAACTAGATCACAGTTGCCAATCAACTTCTTAATACTACAGCGATACCATTCGAATTAGCGAAAAATACATTGAGTTGCACCAACCGCATCACTTTAACCTTTTAAATGTAATAAAACGAAGTTTGAAGAAGTTAAGCCAATCATAAAACTTCTTCATGCTATAAATTAGATTCATGGAGCATTGCTATTTATAAAAATATTTCGAATACATCATAAGTTTACAAAAAAAGAGTGTTGATTCTTTGTAGGTATTGAGAATGTGATCAAGAAGGATTAATACCATGTAGATTTTAGAAATAATACGTATTTTGAGTGATGTTTGTTGATGATAATTTTGTTGCTTATTGACTAGTTTTATAGACACTGAATTTTAATAACGCTACCGTAACGAAAAGATATACAATATGATGAAAATCTATTCTATTAGTTATCTCTATGTTTAATTAGTTCATAAATAATACGATTTTTAAGTTGCAAATAAAACTTTTTTTTTCAAAATAAACGAAAGAGCCTTTTTATAGAAAACATGCGTTACATAATGTGAATATCATTTATACAGGTGAGTGTAAATCAAATATTTTTCGAAGAGAAACATATGAGAAAACTCATGAACAACATTCGCATACGTCGCATGAAATGTAATTTTGTTACTTGAAAATGGTCTACTGCTGCACACAAACATTTATATATTGAATCATTTTTTAAAAAATAAAAACTTTTTACAAAAAGACAATATGTTTTGAACAAATATGTCTGGAAGATCTTTATTAATATTGTTTTAAGAAATTTATATTATTCGATGCACTATTATGTAATATGTGTTAAAATTGAAAGTTGAATTCAGCAAGTCACGAGAAGGGATTTCATCATTAAACCAATTCAGAAACTCAAACACATGCAACAACCTATATACAATCAGTATTGTTCTTTATGGGGATGCCACAAGCGAACTAGTTGATAGGACGATATAATGAATAGCTGAAAATACTTTTCAATAATGAAATTATCTTTAGTCAAACTTTATAAAAGTTGTTATCTCCTTCATATAGATGATGAATACAATCTATTCAAAATATTTTTACTGAAGTGTAGACGTCATGCGTTTAAGTCTTTACTTGTGTTTGAATGGATTGGGATTTTATACTGCTTTTTTTCTGATGAAGAAAGACAGTTGTCTCTTGTTTTTTAAAAAACAAGATATAGTGTTGTTCTAGTCAAACATAAGAAGTCAATTAAGTTTAACTAGAGTATCTTATTCGTATAAGTTTTGATTGAACGAAAACAAAAGAAGAACAGTAACTATCTTTTTTACTCTTATTCACAATAAAAAGATAGAAATATTCATTATTGAAAGACAATGATAATGATGTCTTCTTCCTACAAGAGTATTAATAAGAAATAAAAATCAAATAAATTTGAAGTTTGAATCAAAATTCTATTCAAGAATAATAAACATTTGAAATGAATCATAGTAAGCTTTGTTAAATAAATGGAAGCAAAATGGTTACATAAGACGATATCATCGAACTCGCTGAATTTTTGTTTATTATTACGTGAAAATGAGGTTGTCGACGAAGCCAATATTCAGCATGATTAAATGCTTCTTGAAAATTATAATCTTTCGTATCTGAATATACGATAATATAATTCAAATGAAGTCGTAAAAAAATCAAATATGGTAATTGATTATCGATTAATCTTTGCATGCTATTGGTTCAAACATAATTTTCTTTTCTATTTTTGCTCTTAATTTAAGAATTAAATATTTTAAATATGGATATATAGTTAAAAGTGGTTCGAGTTCTTCAAGTATCCATTCATCTTGAAGATTCAATGTAAGATGATTGAGTTTGGGAAGAATAATTTTATGTCGTAAAAGATTTTTATGTAGAGCATCAAGAAAAGCTTTAAATCGACGAAGATTAGGAGAATAACTCATAAATGTCAACATTTGATTAACTTTTATATAGTTAAGAATAGCTTATTTTAAAACTGAGAAAGGGTGTGGGTATTATCTTCAATTACACCCACACCCTAAGTTCCGTTGTATTTCGCTATGATTTTCAACGGATTTCGACAAAGCCTAATTGGTCAAGCGATATTGATCATCCGTGAAAAATTGAATGGGAGAAAAGTCACATTGTTTTCAAGTCTTTCATAAATTGCATAGTTTTCTTTCTCCAGGTTAATATCTATTAAACCTATCTTTGTACAAAAATGTGCTTTGCAACTATTGTATGTGTGATTTCTTTTAATATTAGAAGTAAATTAGGATTTCTGTTTTTGCCATTCTAGTGTTCTTATCAAAGCAAGATATAAAAAAAACAAATGAGTCATATACAATACAAGGCAATACATCTTAAAAAAGTGCATATCTAATGGCAATAGTATCAGCTTATAAAAAGTTGGTACGTGCCTTTCTTTTCTTACTCTCACCATGCAATCTTTTATAGTCAAATCCAGTTATGTACCCTCATTGCTACTAGTCGCCATGTATATGATTGAAGCTATATGGATTTCTTTAAAGATATCATTAAATTGTGTTTCTGAGTATCTGCCATCAAGTACAGATTGTGGGCTACCCAATACACCATAATGTAATCCAGGTTCTTGTTGCTTCAACTAGTCTATAGCATGATGCCCATGAATTGATGGACATGGGTGTGAATGAGAGTCTGGCTCTGAGTGAGTGTAGTCTCTCATCCAACTTACTAGTATTCAGTTCCCAACAGTCTACCTTTGGATCCTTCTAAGTGCTTCACTAGAGATGGATTCATGTTAGCCACATGTGTAAATGTACTGTAATTGAAAGAAAAGCATATTAGAAAGCTTTGACAAGAAACCAACCAATAGAAAGAAATACTTTCAAGCAGTGAGAAAAATTAAGTTGCATAAAATATGATCATACATGATTTAAATAAAATGAATCAAGTATATTATATCATTTATATTCTGTGTATCGAACCAAATCATGTTGTTTATGGATGTGAGAGTGGATGCATCAAGCAAATATCATGATGCGTTTTCATCTTAGTTAAGAATATTATCAGATGGTTCTACTAAGTATTTATTCAAATGAACTGAAAATCACAAATAAGATACATGATCCGTACTTCGTATGTAAACTGTAAAGTATACTTGTTGTTTGTATGGATACAAATATAAAATCATAGTTCTTAATGATCATCACTTTTGGTTACTTTGACATTATTCAATAGGAACTATTTATTTATCTATATACGTTCATTGATGAATGTAGCTTTATTTCTATGTAGTTTTTATCGTAGAATAATTCTATAGTGTCAACAGCTAATATCATTTTAGTAAAGTGATTTACTATGTTTATCTTGGTATTATTTGTCAACGAATATTCCATAGATTTAACATATTATGATGAAGTATAAGTAATTAAAAGCTGTTTTTCATTAGCTTGGATTAGAGTTTCGAATCTGTCATCGGATTGAACTCTTATTCTTTACATTTTCATTATCTTTTTAATTTTTTTTTGTTTTTGTTTAATCTTTTTCTATCAGACTCTTTCTTCATTTATTAATTTCAATACTGATTTTATTTTTATCGGTTCTAGCCATACAACTATAGCCAAAAATCAAATAATAACAAGCTATAGTAATATTTAAATTTTCAAAAAAATAAAAAACAAAAATAAAACCATTGTACCAATTCTTAAATATTACCAATATTAATAAATAAAATACTGGAAAGCATAAAAATAAACGGATAATCGATTAAGTAAAAAAAAATACTTGCAACCAGCTTAAAATAAAAATTAATGAGATTCTATTGAAATTCATTTGGATTATTCGATTGCCATCGCCATAAATATCGACCTATGTTTATCTGTAATTGATAATCAATTCTAATAAAAGTTTCTACTTACCCATATCATCTAAACCTCGTTGAACTTTCCATCTGAGTTCTTTTGCAGATACAGTAGAATCAGCATAAACAGATGCAAGATCACTTGGCTGTCGAAGACATTCTTTATAAGCAATTATTTTACCCAATGCTTTTTCTAATGCTTTGATCATTTCTAACATAGAATAATCTTTACCTGTACTAAGATTATAGATCTAAACATGAAAGGTAAATAAATAATATCGAAAGAAATTTCGCATACATACTTGAAGACTACAATTTTCTTTATTTTCTTTTTTTTTTTCATAAGTACAATATGACCAGTAGTCAAATCAACAACATGTATATAATCTCGTACACCTACATAAATTCAATCATTGTTCACGATTTAAAAAAAAAACACCACATTTACCTGTTTCATCGGGTGTATCATAATCAGTATCCGTAACATTCACATGTGATAGGGGTGGGTGTGGGTGTGGGTGTGTGTATCGAGAAAAGAAGACTCACACCCACAACCACACCACCCAGACACCCACACTCACACTCACTCACACCCACCCACACCCATAAATCTCTCTTTCTTCTTTGTTATTCTTTATATTAGATTTTTTTTCAATATGTCGAACCGATTATTTTTGTTAAATGTGTACGAAATAAATTAAACTTACATAAACTGATCAAAAAAGGTACTAATCTATAAACATATGATTCAATTTTTATTTAGGATGTACCAAAAGTTCATATCACAACGTTTAAAGGACCTTTTTGGAATATGAACTAATTGCAGCAATATACAATGTTCATCTAGTTTTTTTTAACTATCTATCTTAGAATATAAATCATATATATCTAGGTAGAATAAGTTTTAAAATATATCAATCCAAAGTACAAACCATATCTTTGAATTGAATTTTAGTAATGTGATTAGGAAAATATATTTCTATGAAGTACAGTTTTTGTTTGTTAAGAAGATTTTTTTGCACGTGGAGAGTCATTTGTCTCGAGACTTAATGAAGAGAAAACTACTACATATTGAAATTCATCCCATATACTCACAGCCATGTGGTATCCTCCCATTTGGTCGACAGGCCCTTAATTGATTTCTTTTCGTCCTATTTAGTCGAGAACTTTTCCTCTCTTTCATATAGCATATTTTAATAATTAACAGTTTAATCGACTAGTTAAGGGTAGACTGGTCACTTGCATAACGAGTATTCACTTGTTTTCAAAAGTCGAAGGTCATTGTAGATATGTATCACTACTAGTGTTTTATAACTGACGATATAACAACAGTTAGACAAGTACAGCATCAGGAAAATAAGCAATATCGAAAGAGACAATATGTCCTGCGCAACAGAAGAATTATCACTCTTATGGATCGATATCAGAGCTGCCGACAGACCATCGAAAATTTGAAATTCAAATCTGAGTTGATCTGTTTACATTATATTGAAGTAGAATAGGAGACTAGCTCAGACCACCATTATTGGTCCAATTCATCTTTTCTTTTTGTGAGAAATCTTTGCATATATCATCAAATTTCTGTAGAAACCCATATTACTAAATATATTTCTGACATAGAGTAAAGATGAATTGGACCAATAATACTGGTCTGGCCTAGTCTCCTACTCTACTTCAATATAATGTAAACGGATCAACTCAGATTTGATTTTCATATTTTCCGATGGCCTGGTGACAGCTCTAATAGATATACCGTTGGTTCATTAACACTAAATAATTGTTTCATCAAAATAAGCAACGATTGGGAAAAAAAAATCATTTGATGTTAATATTAATAATAATGAGAATTTACCATAAGTTTTTGTACCATTTTCATTGTTTGATGTTATTTTTAAAAAAACGTGCAGTATTCATGTGCCTAGGTTGCATATCAAAAATTGCACAATGATTCTTGTGATTCTTTATCAGCAGTCTCTTAACTAATCGACCAAACTGTTCATTATTAAAATGAAAAATATATCAAAGAGAGGAAAAGCTGTTGACTAAACAGGACGAAAATTTCTGTCGACCAAACGGGAAAAAATTCTGTCGACTAACCGGGAACTTTTTATAATTGGTTTCAATTCGTCGATCAAATGGGACTGAACCAACTATGTAAATAATAAAGACTTACTTTAATAATAATTGTTTTTTGTTCGGATTGTGTATTTTTTTATGCTTATCATATTGACAAAATGAACCGTCAATATTGGTGATACATAAACAAAAGAATACGCTTATTGAACTAAAACTCGTCTATCAGAAGAAATTTTTTTTCTTATTTCATTCGACGTAACCATTCCGTCAGATATACTCTGTATTTACAGTTGCAAACTTAAATACGAAGCTTGGATTATTTTCTTCTATTGAAAATGAAGTTGTATTCTGTTGTTTATGTAGTACCCTAAAAAGTATTCTTGTTCATAATTTCAACAAATAAAGTTTTGTTCAAATTTTATTTTTATGGGATACACAAAATTTTCAAATCTCATAACAAAACATATATATTATTTATTTATTAACGAATCCAAAATCGAGAAGTTTCAGTACCAATTAAGTTCTCTGTAACAGTACGCGAAAATCCAGATGCCAGCCATCTAATCATAACTCGTCTGCCAGGATAATGATTGTTCCGATCACCAGGTTGAAATACCACCTTCAATGCTTGAAGATTGGGTATTCTATTGATTAACTCTTTTATACTTGATTTATCGTTAACAACAATTTGTAGAACTTGACATTGTTTAGCAATAGATGTAGTAAGAAATGTTCTACATTGCTCAATGTTGAAACAACGATCACGTTTTGCATAATGATAACTTTGTAAATCGAGTCGACGAATTGAATTACTAGTAATATATAATGGTATTTGTTGAACACTTGATGAATCCCAATGACCAATAATCAAAAAATGTAGATTAGGTGCTCGATTAATAAGACTTTGCAATTGAGATAAAACAATATTACCATCAACATCGGCATCACTTGATACATCGAGAGAAATTAATTGATCGAAACGAGGAAGAGTCGACAAATTTTGATCAGCAACCGGAAGTGTTAATTCAAGATGTCGAATATTGTAAAAGCGAATATGAGAGAGAAACCAATCATTTGATATTGAACAATGTTGAAGTAATTTAGTTACACGACTATAAGAACAATAGTCATCTTCATTAGGACATGTTGATTTAGTATGACCATTAGAATTTTCGAAGAGACAACTATAAATCTGTAAAGCATATGGTAAAGTATATAATAAAATCGCGATTTCATTATTTTCTAATTTCCAATGACATCGAATATACCATTTTCGTTCATTAATCCAAAATGGTGTTCGATATGAATCAAACATTTCATTCATTTCTTTTTCATTATTAACATTACATAGCATAACAAATCGAAATATTTTTAATTTTGGTAGATAATCAATAATGAATTGTTTCCATTGATGACCATTCATATGGTTTTTTTCAGTTTGAAGCGTTAAAGAAGTTAAATTAGGCATATTTTTCAATAGATTAAGTGTTCCATTAGTTAAATGATCGACAACAAGTTTTAATGAAGAAACCGTTTCGATTTTAGATGGAAATTGTGTATCATTAGAGAACTGATCGATTATAACAGTTAAATGTCGAAGATATGGTGTACATCGAAATAATCGAATTAATTGAATAGAATTTAACGAAGTATTTTCAATAATTAAATATTTAATAGATTTTGATCGAATTGTTGGAGTAGTAAATTCATTTGCATTGGCAAAAATCAAATCAAGATGAACATGGCTAAGTTGTAGTAAAAGCCAAATACGATTGAGAATATCATGCAATATTTTTTGATGAAATGTTAAACGGCAATTGATTAAATCAAAATGAGTCAGAAGAGGAAGATAACGAAGTTGACAGACAACTTTTTGAATGATTTCAGATGAAGATATATGATAGAGTGATAATATTTTTAATTGAACAAATTGACGAAATGTAAAAGATTGAGAAAGAAATAAATTAATTTGATTTGGTGTATCATCATCATCCGAAAGACGAAGTTTAGTAATATGCTTAGCAATCCAAGGAAGATTTTGTTGACATAGAGTATTAAAATCATGTTTCGATATTGTTCGTAAATCGAGACCATGAGTTCGAAAATGAATAATAAGAAGATTATTAAAACGAGAATTGAGATTTGAAAATGCTTGAAATAAATGAATACCTTTAAGATATTCGAAGATATCGAGGAGTATTTCTTTGACCAATCGTTCGAAATTCATCTTTATGAAGTATATGTTGTAAATGATCTAAATAGTCAGAGAGCAATCGATTCAGTTCGAAGAAAAAAGATAAGTATTTTTCTGATTATTTTAAAGGATATGATTTCATTTTATGATGAATATGTGTGTTAAATGTTGAAATTGAAGATAATTGTGCAGATATATGTGTCACGGATCACTGCACTTCCTCTTTCTTTTCATACCCCCGGAACGCAAAAGTTAGCCACTATGTTGATTGATCTCTTTTTACATTTGAAAAGAACATTTCGAAAAATGTAATTATACCATTTGATAGCGCTTGAAATTCTCTATCATTTCATATATTTATGTTTTACTTTACATTTATCTGTTGAAAAATAATCCGAATAAAATGAAGGCATCTTCAATTGACAAATGCAAGAAAGTCCACTTTTTTTTACTATTTTTACCATATTATTTTTCATATAGAATAAATTTTCACAAAAGTAAGTATACATCCTGATAGCTATTGAAATTTTCTATCAGCCCGTATAAAAATATATTACGTTGAATATAAGTAGGAAAAAAATCGATGTGTCTTTGAAATTGTCAATTGAAAGTTCTTCACTTTATTCAAATTATTTTTTAACAGATAAATGCAAAGCAACACATAAATATATGGGATGATAGAGAATTTCAAGCTCTATCAGAATGTATAGCAACCTTTTTAAAAAGATAATTTTATAGTTAAAAACCTATTTTCTATGCCAGTGACAAAATCCAGTCTGTGGGAATGTGGACATCAAGGTATCTTCATAATGTTCAAGCGCTATCAAATGGTATAATTACTTTTTTCGATATGTTCTTTTCGAGCGTAAAAAGAAGTCAAACATAGTGGCCAACTTTTGCTTTCCGGAAGTATATAACCGTGTGTTGAATGTGGAATAGACACATTCTGGAGATGTAAAGTAGTTAACGCCCTCTTCTCCTCCCATCAAAAATCGGTCTTGACCCAGGAACGTTGGAATAAGCTGAAATTTTAAGGATTTGTTGCGGAGTCTATGCTAAAATTTTCAGCCCAAAACTATTTCAATGACCAAACAAGGTCGAAAAATAGCTAATTTGGCAACCCAAATTTCTCTGTAACGATTCGTCCTTTTTTGTTTGAAAGAGCGTGTCAAGATGCAGGGCACTACGTCGCCTTTTTCTTGAGATACCCTTTTTTAATTGAAAAAAAGAGGTTACAACTTCAATGACTAAAAAATTGTAATCAAATTATATTACTGACTTTATATTGACTAAAGAGAAGGGGTATTTCAAAAAAAGGTCGACGTACTGCCCTGCATCTTGGCATGCTCTTTCAAAAAAAAAAAGGACGAACCGTTACACAGAAATTTAGGAAGGGCGTATGAGAAAAAAACGAAAAAGATTTTTGGATATTTCAAAAATTGGTTCTCTGAAATTCTGAAAAATTTTTCTCAATTTTGAAGGCGCAGACGACGGGCTATTCTCCTATGTATTTATCTCAATTTTGACAGTTCTTATAAAAGTTGACTTTTTTCGAGGGAGAAGGGCATAATAAACATCATTCCTGAAGGTTACGGTAAGCTATTTCTCCAGTCTGCCAGACTATCTTCGTTAGAATAATGTCAAAACAGAAGACAATATTATTCTCTATTTATTATCATAAACGAAAGGAGAAATGTTCAAGGACGAAAATTTTCTAAACTTCTTCTTAGACTTTGATTAACTACCTTAACTATCAAATAAAAACTTTCAGCATAATTCACGTATATAAATTAAAAGAATGAAAAGAACCTTTATGGATTAACTCATTTACATTAATCAGAGACACTTCGAATATTCATGATATCTATTTGTAATAATAAATAAAAGGAGTGATGATATGAAAGATTGAAGGAATAGCTTATCGCCATCTTGAGTGATAATTTTCATCAGCTACTGTTTATCTCCATAATGTGTCTAATGTGCACATTCAACACATACTTATATATGATAAAGAAACAAAGAGGAAGTGCAATGATCCGTGACGTATATATCTGTACAATATAATATTTTTGTATTTGAATGATTGCTATGTCAAAATAATACGAGAAATATGAAAAATATCTTTTGAATAGATTGTCAATGATGATCAATGTGTTCAACAAAATCAAAATGACAAATTTAATGTTTTAACCTTTTCAGTGATGGGCCTGGTTCGATTTCAATTGCCTCGAACCAATTTCTATTGAAATATATATTTAAATATGTTTAGCTTTTTCGAATGGACTAACATTAATCATTATTTTTTTTTCTTTTCTTTTCTTATTCTCTCGTTCTCTTTTCTCTTTTCTCTTTTACTTTCCTGTCCGGCCGTGACCATTTCAACAAATGATCACTCTTCTGTTCTAAATATAAGGACATTCAAATAAAAGAACACATTGGACGTCACCTTCAATATATAAAATAGTCTATGCTGCATGGAGGGCAGTTATTTACTTCTCTTCTTGTGTTTCACTTTCATATTTCCCTTATAAAAAAAATACATAAAAGAAAAAAGAGAAAGAAAGATGATAGTTCGAATAAAGAATGAGGACACATAAGAGTCATGTTTGAGTCATCTTCATTTTTGCTCGATTCATGGTTGAACAGATGAAGAATTTTGCGAGGAATCATTTGGTGACAAAATAAAGCTATTTTTTAAAAGTATTGACAAACTCTTGCCTCAAATACTGTTATTCACTTTTTTGTTATAAATACATGATTTACATACAAAAGAATCGGACATGTGCTTTTTTCCCAAGTAAGATGTTTCGAACCCAAAATTATGTCAAACGACTGCCAACATCAAAGTCTATGTTTGGTAAAAATTTTAGCTCGAACGGTCTAAGTTTTGTTGAGTAATAGAGTAAAACTTATCCGGAGTCAGCATAAAAATCATATAGTTGTCTTATCACTTGCATGCATTTCTCAGTATCTCGAGAAAGGAAAAAACCACATAGGTTTTTAGTTGATTCTTATAGCTCGAAAGAAGGGCTACAAAACGAGATATTTTTCAATTTTCTTAGAAGTGGACTTTGTTAAATTAGCCGATCTGAATTTTCTTAGAACCTCATATTTTTTCATTTTACACTAGTTTTCGATAGATTTTCATCAGAAAATATCGTTTTTCACTCAAAACTAATAACATATTTGAAATCAGCATAAAAAATTCAGCCAGCTCATGTATGTTTTAACTTTTTTACGAACTCTTTTTTCTCGAAAATTTCACCTGGGGTCCCCCTCAGGAATCTGTCTGAAAATGACTTTTACCGAAACTCGGGTGTGGGTGTGGGTATGAGTAAACAGAGCAAAGACATCCACACCCCACATCCACACCCACTCTCACACCCTCGTGTGAAATGCATTCACATAAAATCTTTGATACATCAACAGTTGAATTCAAGCATAGAACAAAAAGACCCGTCAGCAGAACTGGTCGAAATTTTGATCCCATTGAAAATTTTGCTTCGGTGTTCTACTTATTCAAAAAGAATCAATAAAGAATTGGTATTGCCTTGTCTTGAGCCGTAGAAGTCTTATTAAATGAAGAATCCAAATCTTTCCTAAATCGATGAAAAAACTTAATTTATTCATTGAGACTCTAAGGAATGGAACGATTTTCGGATTTCTCATGTCAAAATCTTAAACAAATAATCTTCACAAATGAAAATCTTAGTCACAATTAACATGCAGTATCGCCATGTCTGTAATGCATACTTATTGTAAATAGAAAGATCAATTTATTAATCGATGTGAAGCTAGCACGATGACCAATCAAAATCGATGTGCCCATCGGCCAATCAGTACGCGTCCATATTTTACCACCTAGAATCCATAAAATACCAACACAACTTTCCTTAGCAACCGAACAGATAATACTACAAAATCCATAAACTCATCTTCTAATGCGAACGACTCATGCCTAATTACAATAAACAACTGAAAACCATACATCCCTACGCCATAATTCCCACAGCACATGCTATCAAAGCATCCATGCAGAAACAACTTTCACTCCAACTGCAACTACGCCATACCAACCTCTACATATCTTCACACAGCATTGCATTCACTATAAACCCCACCCATCATAATTTTCTCCTCATAACAAAACCCATCCTGTCCAATAATTTTCTTCAATACCACCCGATGCTACTTTCCATGGAAATAATACTATAATCAATCTATATACAATTTCCTTCCCTACAACTCTATCTATCTCACATACATCAAAACAATTTTCAATCGGGATCTAATTCCAAAAAACCTCCCATCCAATTATAAGAGCGCCCACGGCGATATTCACATTCCTCCCTACGAACTCTTTTTCCATTGCCACGAGAGAATGAATGCACCATTCGATAGAGAATTCAATTCTCTATCGAACTGTGTATTCATTCTCTTTTTGCAATGGAAGCTCAATCCACAAGAGAGCATCTCAATGTCAAAAACTCGCGTGAAAATGGTGTCGGAGATGTTTTTTTCCTTCTCGAAGCCCCTCCCAAAATCGATTCTCCCTATGACGAATATACTATCTTGTAGAGCATTGAATTCTCTATCGAATGTTATATTCATGTTTTTTTTAGATTTTGATCGGACTGTTTTCATGCTTTTTTTGGAGGTACTACTTTTTTGTTTTGTTGATTTTTTTGTTTCCTCCTCTTCGTTGTTATGTATTCGCCATTGCGCTTGGTATGACCTCTATTATGGATTTTTCCTATGGAAAAATTGTGGTTGGTTATTCTGTTAACTAATGGGATTACTCAAACCTTCGGGGTAATTGTTCGTGTTGTGGTAGCTTCTCATCGATAATTTTGTAGAAAATTTTCGGTACTTTGGGTAGAAAGGAAATCTATCAATCCTATAAATTTTATCTGAAAATTTATTAAACGATGACTGGCGTTAGTTACTAATTTCGGTATCACGAAAAATGAATATATTAAGAAATTTTGAAATAAAATATTTTCTTCCATTTGCCTATTTGTTAAATCTCGATG